CCGCTAGAGTTGTCAGTTTTAGCTGGATACTAGCCAATCCGAGCGATAACAAATACATATTTCAAATAGATTTAAAACAGAAAAACCTGCACAAATTTGGATCAATTAAGCTGCCGGGCGCCGGCAATATAAGGCTTGTGAATAGGTTGCAATTTGTAATTAATAATTAGTTAAAATTGTTGTAATTTTACTTTAATAAAAAATGTTACCGTGGAGACTCCGAGTATGTTTGTCAAGCTAAATAAAATACATTTATCTATCAGTTCCGATTTTATCTACCTGTCAATACTGTGTTACTATGATTTGTTACCTGTAGTTGACCCTGTATAGTAGTTGATTATGAGTTCAATCACATTTGATTGGCTTTTCAATAAGCTGCTGTATAATCCGAGCGAAGTTTTCTTTAAAGTAAAAGGTATGTTACTTATCTTTGTCAATTATACGGCTTATTAAATTCATACCAAACCCTCCCAAGAACTAATATATACCCATTACATATCTATAATCTCTGAAATTTTGGTGCAATTTGGAGACGAATTACGTGAGTTATTAAGAGGTTGCGTGTGGGTAGTCACTTTTGGGCCACCCTGTATATATGATAAGTTACTTCTTTCTTTGCAATTGTTAATTTTATAAATTGAACCACATGGCGCGTATCACACTGTAATAAAAACTGTGCATCTCATCCGTTGTTTAGCAACAGCCAATCAGATAGCTGTATTCTGGTCACGAAACTTAAACCAACCAATTAAAGAGCAGTGCATTTAACCTGGGGTTTAGTGGCAAAATATTGACAAATTTCCACAACTTTGAGGATTAAAATTCGTGTTTGGTATCATTGGCGGGATCTGAATGTAGGAAGCCGCAGTTTCTATTTCAGTAAAAGTTTTGCATGTTAAAGTTAACATCTGCACTCCTGTTTTTTAAGATTACCAACGACTACTAAAGACTTTACATTACCAGTTGCCTAGGTTACGAAGCTGTTGCCAAGTGACTAAAGCTTTCACATTAGCGCCCGTTTTCACACTGCTGCTATCGATGTAGTTATTTTGTAGCGAACTTCTAGTTTCTACGACTTAAATTAGTTTAAAATCATTAGAAAGTTTAGAAACTCTTAAGACTTCTCCATCTTATGGAACCCTCTAAGTGTCTTGTAATTAGGGTGAATTGTCATATGACGTGTCCTGGGTGAAGTTTTCGTTTCTAGCTGATTTTGGCCGTTCTAACTTAAGACTTTTAAGAATTAAAGCAGCCGTATTGATCTTCCAAACCTACAACTTTCAAAGTTAGTTAGCTACACCAAGATCTATCTGATTTTAGTTAGCTACAGCAAGTTCTAGCTGATTTTAGTTAGCTACACCAAGATCTAGCTGATTTTAGTTAGCTACAGCAAGTTCTAGCTGATTTTAGTTAGCTACATCAAGATCTAGCTGGTTTTAGTTAGCTACATCAAGTTCTAGCTGATTTTAGTTAGCTACACCAAGATCTATCTGATTTTAGTTAGCTACAGCAAGTTCTAGCTGATTTTAGTTAGCTACACCAAGATCTAGCTGATTTTAGTTAGCTACAGCAAGTTCTAGCTGATTTTAGTTAGCTACATCAAGTTCTAGCTGATTTTAGTTAGCTACATCAAGTTCTAGCTGATTTTAGTTAGCTACATCAAGTTTTAGCTGATTTTAGTTAGCTACATCAAGTTCCAGCTGATTTTAGTTAGCTACATCAAGTTCTAGCTGATTTTAGTTAGCTACATCAAGTTCTAGCTGATTTTAGTTAGCTACACCAAGATCTAACTGGTTTTAGTTAGCTACAGCAAGTTCTAGCTGATTTTAGTTAGCTACACCAAGATCTATCTGATTTTAGTTAGCTACAGCAAGTTCTAGCTGATTTTAGTTAGCTACACCAAGATCTAGCTGATTTTAGTTAGCTACATCAAGATCTATCTGATTTTAGTTAGCTACATCAAGTTCCAGCTGATTTTAGTTAGCTACATCAAGATCTAGCTGATTTTAGTTAGCTACAGCAAGTTCTAGCTGATTTTAGTTAGCTACACCAAGTTCCAGCTGATTTTAGTTAGCTACATCAAGTTCCAGCTGATTTTAGTTAGCTACATCAAGTTCTAGCTGATTTTAGTTAGCTACATCAAGTTCTATCTGATTTTAGTTAGCTACATCAAGTTCTATCTGGTTTTAGTTAGCTACATCAAGTTCCAGCTGATTTTAGTTAGCTACACCAAGTTCCAGCTGATTTTAGTTAGCTACATCAAGTTATATCTGATTTGAGTTAGCTACATCAAGTTCTATCTGATTTTAGTTAGCTACATCAAGATCTATCTGATTTTAGTTAGCTACATAAAGATCTATCTGATTTTAGTTAGCTACATCAAGTTCTAACTGATTTTAGTTAGCTACATCAAGTTATATCTGATTTTAGTTAGCTACATCAAGTTCCAGCTGATTTTAGTTAGCTACAGCAAGTTCTAGCTGATTTTAGTTAGCTACATCAAGTTCTAGCTGATTTTAGTTAGCTACATCAAGTTCCAGCTGATTTTAGTTAGCTACATCAAGTTCTACCTGATTTTAGTTAGCTACATCAAGTTCTAGCTGATTTTAGTTAGCTACATCAAGTTCTATCTGATTTTAGTTAGCTACAGCAAGTTCTAACTGATTTTAGTTAGCTACACCAAGTTCCAGCTGATTTTAGTTAGCTACAGCAAGTTCTAGCTGATTTTAGTTAGCTACATCAAGTTCTAGCTGATTTTAGTTAGTGCACACTCAGCTCTACTCACCTGTTACCTAGCATCATGATCTCGGTTATTAATAGAAGCTAACTTAACGATCTTAGTACAGATAGTAAAATCTCATCTACACGTATCAATAAATTACTATCCTACCTGGTGTTACCACGTGCTCTACAGTCGCACAAAGTCGCACAAAGTAATACCAGATTGCTTCTACCCTCCTTATTGTACCAGTTCAATTTAACTTTGTTACGCTAGTTTCTATGAAGCCGCTGTTGTTACCTTTCTTTGGGAAGAGGAGACCGCACAAGCTCACAGGTAGAGTTGATATTATTTCACAGTCGCGCTTGCCAGTACTTCATATGAAATAGTCATTCGGTTGAAGAGAAAGAATCCACGATATCGGAATTATCCAAACCTGAGGACCCGAAATAATATTTTCAATAGTTGTAAAATTTTCGACATCTGATTAAAGGTCAGAGAATTTAGGTTTTTCCTAAATACACAATTTTGAAATCGTCGATCTCTGGTGACGATCTTTTTCGAACTTAAATTTACGTCTATTCGTTCGTTTGTTTCCCACTTGTCTCATGCTGTTCAACTATGTGTAAATGTAATCTGAATACTATAAGGAGCTAATTGAGACAATTGATCACTACAATTTGGTGTTTAGCTGACCTCAGACTTTATTGTAAGTTAGCACAATTGTAGACTTTGTGGAATGTGGAGAGATAACTCGTACTACGTTTTATAGATATAGATTGTAGAGTAAGCATACATAACACATTCGATATAATCACAAACAACAAGGAACCGAGTACCGGTCAAGGAATTTGGCTGCTGGACTGAAAACGGTCGCATATTAATATAATTAATCTATTTTCCTGTTTGCTCGTATCAAAAAGCACCAAAATGCGATGTTCTGCATTGTATCTGATCCCGCAAGTGCAATATTTTGATCGAAAACACAATAAAACGTAGCCTTGGCTTTTATTCTCATGTCTACTTTTTCTCACTTCCGAAGTTATTTACAAAAAATCGAAGGCTTGAATTAAAATTCTAAAATGGTTACCTTAGCTGCATAGTGCATATACTTTTTCTACAACCTTGATAAACAAAATGTTGTTGCCAATTTTCCGTGTTTTAAGCCATTGTATATATTGTATGATTAAATGAGAGTCTCGATAAGTCAGAGGTTGCAATGTTTCCTTATATAGCAAGTAGTACAAGTCTTTGTCTAGGTACGTTTTACGTCTAGGAGCTCCACGAACCTTTAATTAACCCGAAAGCCTGGAAAGTGGTAACCTTTAATTAACAGAAACTCATTAATCAATTTATCAACCATCAAATCAGATAACTGCTACCAAGACAACCAATCAAGTCTGGTCACCGTGCCAACCATCAAACCATTTCCTCGACTGAATATTAAAGTCTCAAATTCATACGACCGTGGACGATCTGTCAATTTAGATCTCGTAAACTTGCATCAGTTTCTAAACTGTAACTAAACGTATGCAGTCTGCGACGACAGGAGCTATATAATATGCTTCAGTGAGACATTATAAGAATCTGGCCCAGACATGCAACACTATTTACACTGAAGTATGAACCCGTAAACTCCTGTCCTGCAAGCGAGAGTGATTACTTTGGCTGCAGTTTTACTGATTTGCTTTGTTGCGCAATGCTCGGTAACGTTTCCCCAAGAATACCTCCCAGATTTTCCCCACGTTCGCCAAGGTCGCAGCATCTTCTTCAACTAGGGGGGGAACTTCTTCAACTAGGGAGGGAACAAAAGTCAGTTTCCCTCCCAAAAAGTTAGCCGCCTCCGCGTATTCTGTCGACTTTCCCTTTAAAATATTCGCTTTTTTTGTAGATTCACGTCTGCTCTGTTATTTGATAATCACTGCTGTTCAAGTTTCGTTGGATCTATTATTTCGCTCGCCCACAAATTATCACGAGGATTGGGTTTTGAATTCAAACAAAACAGTTTTACCGTAACCCTGCACAATCGAATTTGCGTTTTACTAGCCTGTACAGTTCCTAGAGGAAGCATTTTTACGTTATGTCATGGGGTGATTCGTAATCAGCGTCCAAAAGTACATCGTTTAAAGTCCCTTTCACACCCTCGTCCCTCAGTGCCTTTTCACAAGATTTTTTTGAAATTTGGACGAGCGATATAATCGGGAACTAGTTTCGTAAGATCATAAAATTACATACAGACGATTTACAATTTAATCCTTGTGTTTGACCTCCCATATTCCAGGTCCGTGGAGTCAGAACAGATGGAGGCCGCCAGCGTGGGAGTCTTCTGAAAGAAGAACATTAGCAGAGGTCCTCACGCAGGTATGCTAAACCACATACCCCCCATTTTTTCAGAGGGCTTCGAATTTCTTTCATGGCCAAAATCGTTTAAAATTGATTTTCGAGAATTATACTTATAATACCTATACTAGAGTTAAATTAAATTTTTCAAAACGACCATTAACGTCCACGTGCCCCACATTTGTCGTTGCCCAGGTAGAACCATTACAGGATTATCACTTCTTACCCGGCTTACAATTCATTCAGGTGCCAAATTACATCATAGACAAGGGAGATGACGGGTGCAGGGAGGTAGTGTCATACGTGGACGGAGTGGTCATGTTCACTGACCTGTCCGGGTTTACAGCTCTCTGTGAGAAATATGCAGAGTCTGACGAGAAACCACACACTAACGGGGAGAAGATCCCGTCCAGAGGGGTGGACGCTCTCACTGCCTCGCTCAACGATTATCTGGGCAGAATAGTTCAAGGTAGGTTCTCATGTTAATTTCTGCTTCGCTCAACGACTATCTGGGCAGAATAGTTCAAGGTAGGTTCTCATGTTGATTTCTGCTTCGCTCAACGAATCTCTGGGAAGAATAGTTGTTGGGAAGGTTCTCATAGCACTCACTGCCTCACTGAAGGATTATCTAGTAGAAATAGTCTATGGTAATTGGTAGGTCCTTAAAGCCTTTCAACGACCACCTTCCATTTTACAGATCTAATGTGCGCTAACGGGGATATTCTGAAGTTCGCGGGGGACGCTATCCTTACTCTGTGGCAGTGTGAAGAATCAGAGTTCCCGGCTACTATAGACAGAGTAGTTACTGCTGCTATCAACATTCAGTGCAAAATGGACAATTACATGACCGGTAATACTTCAACTTTCAGTTCAAAACAAATAACGGTTTTTACTAGTTAGATAACAATAGGTAGATAAGATAACAATTGAGTTGTGATGGAATAGTGAATTTTTCAGCTCAATAGACTCACTTAATTAATTAAAGTATGGTAATCAGAAATAGTAACTACTTTGGATTTGTGTAAAGTTTGATAATAATCAGAAATATTTGTATTTTATTTTTGATTTGGCTGAAAATGATGCCAATTTTGCCCATTAATTCCTCATACGCATTAATTACTCAACGCATTTTTTGTCAAATGATAACTTTAAAAGCTGTAATATTAGTGGTTGTACTATCATAGTTAGTAACAGTAGCATGACGTGTGGTAGTACTCACTATCATTCCCCGTCACACAACACCGATCCTTTGCAGAAGTGGGAGTGAACCTGCGAGTAAAGATAGGAATTGCAGTGGGATGTGTTATCTTCTACCACATAGCTAACGATAACGAGCGGCACTTTGGCGAGGCTGGTCAGACGATTGAGGAGGTCAATATAGCTCAGAGTAGTGCGAGTAGTGGAACTGTCGTGGTTAGTACTTTAGTTAGTACTTAGTACTTAAGTTAGTACTTAGTACGTTAGTTAGTACTTAGTACTTTAGTTAGTACTTAGTACTTTAGTTAGTACTTAGTACTTTAGTTAGTACTTAGTACTTTAGTTAGTACTTAGTACTTTAGTTAGTACTTAGTACTTTAGTTAGTACTTAGTACTTTAGTTAATACTTCAGAGTAGTGCGAGTAGCGGCACTGTCGTGGTTAGTACTTTAGTTAGTACTTAGTACTTTAGTTAGTACTTAGTTCTGTAGTTAGTACTTAGTACTTTAGTTAGTACTTAGTACTTTAGTTAGTACTTAGTACTTTAGTAAATACTTCAGAGTAGTGCGAGTAGCGGCACTGTCATGGTTAGTACTTTAGTTAGTACTTAGTACTTAGTACTTTAGTTAGTACTTAGTACTTTAGTTAATACTTCTACCATTTTCAATTAGTATAGAACCTGATTATTAGAAAATTTCGCAAAATATCGACCTTTTTTAAACGATTTTTCATGATTTGACTTTGGCAGATTCATGTCACTGAAAGAACTTTTCAGATAGGTATATAATATTTCACACATTAGTAATATATAAGTTAGGGCAAGAGTTGATTTTTCTGTGAACAAATTCGTAACAAAGGTTTGTCTACTGGAATGTGTTGTCCATAGTCCCAGGAACCACAAAAAAAAACCGTCCAGCTGAAACTTTTGGGCAAAAATTTTTATAGTCATTTTTCTCCAGGAACCCATACGCCCCACCCCTAATATTGGTTATTCGGCTCCCGAAGGTCTTGAGATCTCCATAGGGGGTGCAAAATGACCGCAATGGCCACATTATGGCAGGCGAATGATAGTTTCAGAACGATTGGGGCTTTAATTTTCGAAATAAATGGAATTTTTCGAAATTTTATTGAAATTTCGAAAAAAATACACCGAATTATTTTTAACGCTTATTTCAAATCTTACTCGGGAAATAACTTCAATTAACAAATATCAAGGTTAACTAACAAACAACAGATTATTGACCAACCCCCAGACAGCTATTCGACGGTACATACTACTCTGGTTGAATGTCTTAATCACATTCGATTTGCCATTGTGGATTAAGGCCACCCGAATAGTACTGGAAACTGGGATGCCTATTGTGGTCAGGGTTGGGGGCTTCCACACTCTCACGAGTTTTCTTGGCTGCATAGGCTATATAATGGCAGACTCGGGTTTAGAGGAGCTCATCAAACTCGTGTATCCTGGAGACGTCACGCATATATCGGATGGAGGATCTTACTATAAGTATAAAGCGTTGAGAGCCCACTTTCTGATCGACGCCGCTCTTTGTTGTTTCATTATATAGAGGAAGAAGTTTACGACGATGAACTAGTAGACTTGGAAGGTTACATCAACAAATGTGTGAACGAAAATCTAGGTGTTAACTTTAAGACTAAATCTATTCAGGATCTATCAGAGAAAATAACTCTGCTTCTAAAGAACCTGTTTTCCAACAGTAGAACAGCAGCTCTATGGGTTACTTACCACAACATGATAACACTAGTAAAGGACTTCATAAGAGCAGAGAGGTTGCACGACTACACTATGCATTTATCAGCAGTAGCTTTAATGCTGCCCTACTTCGCAGCAGCTGGGAGGGGACAGTATGCAAAAGCTTTAAGACTGTATTTGGAGCAGGATGCTATTTTTAAAGTCAACTATGGGGCGCTTTTAAAGACCTTTAAAGTAACTGGGCTTCACACGGTTTGTTACAACGACCACGAGTGGGCCGGGGTGTGGACTGACCTCTCCATAGAGCAGAGTCTTATGAGGGCAGCTAAATCTAGTGGTGGATTAACAAGTGGAAGGATGCGTAATCGTGAGTCCACTCACAAGTTATGGGTGGCCACCCTGAATCAGATGGCTTTAATAAATCAGTCTTTTGGAGATTCATTAGCTAATTCATCGAAGCGAGGAGTATCAACTAAAGCTGCCATCCACTCAGATCTTACCAAGTCATCAATCAAGAAAAACTGTGATGTATTTGGAAAATTATTAACTTGGTTTAAAGTTACTGTCGACTTTACAGAATCCGAAGATAAGACTAAGTTAATATCTTTTTCGACTGGTCTTATATCACAGCCTGGGAACGATGAGGTGAATCCCGAGGAATGTTTGGCCGTTGGGGCTGTCCTTCAACGTGAGCTAGATGGGTTGACATTCATCGATAAGATAAGTATCAAAGGTAAAGCAAAGAACTTGACACAACTAAGAAAGCAGGTTAAAGTGAATAATAAAAGCGTTGCAGTCGATCCGTTGAAGTGTTTTAACCGCCTAGTCTTGGTTGCTGATAGAGAGACTTCAATAGAGGAATGCCTAACATACGAGTTAACTGTGGTGCCGATGAGCTTATTTGATCAATATCAGATGATGAGGAAATCTAATAAGGCTGCTCTTGGTATAAACCAATCTACACTTAAATCTTGCAGCTTCACGATCCCACTAGTCATTGATGGAGGTTGGCTAATTCACCAACTAAGCTCATTTAAAGGGTGTGACAATTATGGTGAGGTAGCAATGGAGTACTTGAAGCTTATCCCTAAAAATCGGGAAGTTACTGTGATTTTTGATGGATATGAGCCTTCTACTAAAGATCACGAGCACAAGAGGAGAGTAAAAGCGTTCTGTGCTAATATTGCTGTAAAGAAATCCACCTTTTGTACTGTCACCAAAACAACATTTCTGAGCAACAACAATAACAAAAAAGAACTGATCGACCTTATCTCAAGCATTTTTACTGTAAATGGTATTGAAGTGATCAGAGCTTGTAACGATGCTGATACTTTAATTGCAAAGAAAACATTGGAAATGTCATTCCTTGGCGATGTTGAATTGAAGGCAGAGGATACCGATATAGTTCAAGTCTATTAGTACATCATTTCAACAGTGACCATCACAATGATATTTATCTAACAACGAAGAAGGGTACATATTCAATCAAAGAAATATCAAGTCATCTAGATCATAAAGAAAAGGAGATACTTCTTCTAATTCATAGTATTTCAGGTTGTGATAGCGTCAGTGGACTGTTTGGTTTTAGCAAGGTTAAAGTGCTAAAGAAAGCTCTCACCTTTGATGAGCAAGGTCAGTTGGCAACATTACTTTCGGTGAGAGAATCAAAAGAAAAGATTATTGAGGCAGGCCTCTTTTTCTTGCAGTACATTTATGGTGACAAGAAAAAGACTCTTTCTGCTTTGAGATTCCTAGCATACAATAGGATGATAGCGAAAAAGAGTCTCAATCCGAATAGGCTACCTCCAACAATAGCTTCAGCAACAGAGCACATCCTTAGAGCTTACTTACAGAACCATAACTGGGTCATGCTTAACGCTGACAGTCCGAATCCCCTTGACTACGGCTGGAAATTGGCTCCTGGTGGCACTTACGAACCATTTGCAACAAAAGCTATAATTGCTCCAGAGTCTATTTTGAACCTTACATGTTGTAACTGTTCTGTCGATGTGGAACAGGCCTGTTTGACTTTCAGATGTTCATGTAGGAAATATGGCTTCAATTGTTTGCCAGCTTGTGGACGATGCCATGGTATGAACTGCACAAACATTAGACATGATGAACCTGAAGAACAAGCGAATTTTGATTAATATTAACTGTGTATTAATAATTGTCATGGTATTTACTGAGAATACACATTTTAGATTAACTGTATTTGTTATTTGTAGATGAGTTTTTAAATAGATTTGAAATAAGCGTTAAAAATAATTTGGTGTATTTTTTTTCGAAATTTCAATAAAATTTCGAAAAATTTCGAAAAATTCCATTTATTTCGAAAAATAAAGCTCCAATCGTTCTGAAACTATCATTCGCCTGCCATAATGTGGCCATTGCGGTCATTTTGCACCCCCTATGGAGATCTCAAGACCTTCGGGAGCCGAATAACCAATATTAGGGGTGGGGCGTATGGGTTCCTGGAGAAAAATGACTATAAAAATGTTTGCCCAAAAGTTTCAGCTGGACGGTTTTTTTTGGTGGTTCCTGGGACTATGGACAACACATTCCAGTAGACAAACCTTTGTTACGAATTTGTTCACAGATTGACCCATAAACAGCAATTCTTGCCCTAACTATATATTAGTAGTATATAAGTAGTATATTAGTGATAGTAATAATTCTCCCTCCTACAGTTTAGATTTGCACTCCAACAGTTGATATATTCAGTTTTTCAGTTTAGATTATCCCCTAAAAGCAACATAACAGACCTCTTATCATGTTTTCTTAAATTTCAGATATCCCCTAAGGCGTGGGACTTGTTGGAGCAGAAGCTCTTCAGTTATAATATTTTAGAGAATGGATACGTAGAGGTAAGCTTCCATTGGCCTAAACCCTACCAAATCACAAACCTAACTATCAACCTGATATATAACTCTGTGGGTATATTATCTTCATATTGACTAAACTTTTGAAGATTATATAACTCAAAATAAGGAAGAACGTTTTTTCAGATTAACCGAAGGTCGTCCCTATCTAAAACTCTTCAGACCTTTATGGAGACGAGGGACCCCACAAAAACAGAGATCTTCAACAACACCCCTGAACCAGAGTGCTTGAGTAGGTTCTAATAACCAGTAATACCAGTAATAACCAGTAATAACCAGTAATAACCAGTAATAACCAGTAATAACCAGTAATAACCAGTAATAACCAGTATGTAGTGTTAAGTGTAGTGATAACATCAGTCACCTAAAGCTGGCAGAGTGCCAACTGCCAAATTAAATAAATGTAGTGCCAAATAAGAGAGTGTTAGTCACCTTTCAAGCAACTTGGAAAGTGTCTTATTAAATTATTAAATGTTCCTTTTCAGGGCTGACCCAGCTAAGCAAGGTCTCTGAGAAGGATGAGACGATATACCGGATGTACACCAATCAGAACGTTATCTCCAAGTTAGATGCTTGTGCTGAGCTGAGGTGGCTCAGTGAGATAAGAACAGTCACTGTCATGTTTTTAGAGGTAATCTTTTTAGAACAGTCACTGTCATGTTTTTAGAGGTAATCTTTTTAGAACAGTCACTGTAATGTTTTTAGAGGTAATCTTTTTAGAACGGTCACTGTCATGTTTTTAGAGGTAATCTTTTTAGAACAGTCACTGTCATGTTTTTAGAGGTAATCTTTTTAGAACAGGTCACTGTCATTTTTTTAGAGATAATCTTTTTAGAACCGTCACTTTCATGTTTTTAGAGGTAATCTTTTTAGAACAGTCACTGTAATGTTTTTAGAGGTAATCTTTTTAGAACAGTCACTGTCATGTTTTTAGAGGTAATCTTTTTAGAACGGTCACTGTCATGTTTTTAGAGGTAATCTTTTTAGAACAGTCACTGTCATGTATTTAGAGGTAATCTTTTTAGAACAGTCACTTTCATGTTTTTAGAGGTAATCTTTTTAGAACAGTCACTGTAATGTTTTTAGAGGTAATCTTTTTAGAACAGTCACTGTCATTTTTTTAGAGATAATCTTTTTAGAACGGTCACTTTCATGTTTTTAGAGTTAATCTTTTTAGAACGGTCACTTTCATGTTTTTAGATGTAATCTTTTTAGAACGGTCACTTTCATATTATTAAACTTAATATTTTTACAACATTGTTCCTTTATAAATTTAACTAAATTTAACTAAACTTACAGGTGCACCTATCAGACTACAATCCAGAAAATCACATAGATATTCTCAACACTATACAGCTAGCCTTCACAATTATATACGATCAGATGACTCGTATGTTAGGTTAGTAGTAGACTTTTAAATAAGTTAGATAAAATAAATTATTAAATCATTAAATATGATCAAAAAGCTCGTATGCTGGCGTTTATCTTTGAATTTGCTAAACGTCTTGGTTAGATTTGCAGACTAATAACCTAGAGCCCGTCCTGATATATATTTATCATTTGTCTGGTGCCTCCCTGCTTATCCGACCAAATTAGGGCATTTTGCAATAAAAGTTTGAAATGAGCTTTCTCAGTAGCTATTATAGACAGAAATTATATCAGAACCAGGGTGGTGGGTTCCGCCCAGCTGCTTCTATCAGCGTCATTATCTGATTATGCAGACAACTTGTATAAGCTGCAACGGAGATTTAATAAACAATTCGAGCAAGTTCTGATAATACTACCAGCTATGAGAGTGAATATTATGTTGTTGTTCAATTTTTCTACCGCAACTTTGGAAATTAAAATTGGTCAAAAAAGCGTGTTTAAAATTTTCTGCGGAAACACCAGCTGTTAATGTTTGATATTTCAGGGACTATAAACAAGTTATACATGTTTGATAAAGGCTGCACCTTCCTCATCATATTTGGGATGCCAGGAAAGAAACACGAGGATGAACCAACCCGGGCTCTTAAAGCCGCTGATAATATAATGAAGGATTTCCACACCAAGAACCTCGAGGCTAGTATAGGTGCGTCTTTTTTTTTCTTTTTTAAAGAGAGGCTGGGCCTGGTTGGCCCACGAGAGGATAGCATATGAATGCTTTGCCTACCTCTGGGGTATGGCAGTCCTGTGGGAGGATGCCGGTGGAATCTGTGTAAGCGGGTCAAATAAAAGATTTAATATAGTCAAATTCTATTTATATTTGTGAATATTATTATTATCATTATGGAGAGGAGCGAGTTATAACACTATTATATTTATTATCTTGACAGTTGCTGTTGTAACTTAAGATTTGAAATTTGTATTCCTTGTATTCCTTGTATTCTTTTGATTATTCTATGAGTTGCTTTATATTTTTTAAATCTCTTAGTATTTGATCTACAGAAAATGTCTGTAAACCTCTGATTATTTAGGGATCACCACTGGCAGAGCATTCTGTGGAATTATTGGTCATCCTCAAAGGCACGAATATGGAGGTTAGATTTCATTTTCTAACATATTTTGTATTGAAATCTTTCAAATCAATCAATTAAATACAAATTTACACAATGAATGAACAACATTAAATCTTCTCAAAATATCTCATATTTTTCCTGGAATTGTCAACATATAGATATAAATAATTATACTTGTATTCTTCGTGGGTGGCTTTACTCCTTTATAATAACGATAAACGAATCATAATGAAAAATGCCAAAATCATAATAATAACTCAACGCGCTTGAACGCCCCCATGTTACCTTTAAAACCTTTTGTTATTTAACAGTTGTATAATAAAATGTTCACTGTTGCTTAACCATCCCCCGTTTTCTAACAAATGTGCTTAAAGACCATGTTTAAAATTATGAATTCTCTAATCCAAATTGTTTTTGGGTCAAGAACCTATCCCTGAAAACCATCAGAAACCATTACAACCAATCCCTAGCCCTCAGAAACCCCCTTTTGAAACCGCTTAAAATGCCACAAATTGTCATAAATGTTTCAAAAGTGCTTAAAAACCTCGGGTTTGTGATTGGTCTTCAAGCACTTTTGTTATAAAACGGCAGCTATAACACCCATACCCTGCAGTAATTGGTAAGAGCGTGAATCTAGCAGCGAGGCTGATGTCTAACTATCCTAAACGTATAGCGTGTGATGACACCACGCGGACACTTTCTAATCTCGACCCTCAAGATTTCCTGAAACTGTCTTACATAAAGGTACATAACAAGGATGAAATGTTTCTACCTTAGTTAATTAACTGGGTATAGGACACAAGGGCGGAGGACACATTTGATTTTAATATTTGAGGGAGAACACTAAACAAGTGCTTCTTGTTTCGGTGCTATCTCATATCACACACTGTAGGTGAGAACATCCCTGTACTTGGTGGTGTGATATTATGTGTGTTATATCTATACTATAATTTAAACTTGACGAAATTTCCCCGGCAACGGGGACATAGAAGAAAAAACACCGAAAATCGACCTCAAAATGACCCTCTGGTGAAATCAAACCCAGCTCGCAAATGGAGTTGAAACCTCGCCATTTTTAGCAGGGTTGTAGAAAAAGGATAGGAATAGGCTATAGCATTCTTAGAATTTTGATTTAGGCTTTAGATTTTTTATAATTAACGTCGGAAGTGAGGTTAAATAATCGTTAGAACAATGGCGTTATTTTAGCAAAGGTTTACTGCGCTGTTGCGTAGCAACGATAAAAATGCACGTGCGCGAGCAAGAACATCTTAACTACGCGCGTTGTTATGCTGTATGCTACGTCATAACTTCAAAACTAGCTCACATTTACGCTCACGCTATGACTTATATTCATAACTTTGGTTGTGATTGGTATTTTTTGATGCGGTAAAAAGTATCGTTTTGGGAATCCGAATACTAACAACGCTGTTGCCATTGTTAAATAAATTCCATCATGTCTACTGTATAACAGAGCTGTATGATGAAGAGAAATTAAAACATAACTGATTTTTAAAATTTCCTCGAACAAAGCTTTCGACTAGCGGGTTTCTAGTGTTATTATGTTATAGTAGGTTGACGCGTATAGACAAAATTTAAAATAAAATTTTTTTCCCTACTCTTGCCGAAGGCAAAAAGATCGTAGGGAATAAGTAATCGGGTTTGGATATATGAGGTGGCCCGATGGACCTGCGATGATGACAAAAGTCTGCTCCTTCGCAATATATACCACTCCCCTATAATTAAGTGTATAGGAAGCGTCTGTTATGCTGCGCGCGACGCTAGCCATGTGTTAATTAATTACAGTGAAATTCATCCTTCGCAAAGTTATTTTCCGCAATTTTCTGGATTCATTTATTGTTGATGCGCGGCGCTGCATTGGTCAAATGAATCGTCAATTTTTCGCTCCTACTAAATCGCTCGCCCAAATTTTAAGAAAATTCTTGTGAAAAGGCCTTTTGGGTATGAAATTGATCTGAATCGGTGTATTTTTGGACGCTGATTCCGAATCACCCCCCATGACGTAGGGTAAAAATGCTTCCCTGGAGAGTTATGGGCAAAAAAACCGTTTTGGTCACGTGACCGGCTAGTAAAACATGAATTCGATTGTTTAGGGCTCGGGTTAGGGTTAGGGTTGTGGTAAGGGTTATAGATAGCTTCAAGGTTATGGTTGGGGTTAGGGTTGGGATTAGGGTTTATGTAAAACCGTTTTGTACGGCTGCAAAACCGTAAAAACCAAAGTCACGTGAAATTTTTGGGCGAGCGAATTAGTAAGAGCCTCAATTTTTACCATGCACGAATCCCACTCCTTTATGAACAACGTAGTATGTAAATATGGTGCAATTTTTCCAGTCACACTTTTCACTCAAAAGAATTAATGGTACAAGTACATCGTAGGGAAAATTGATCGTGCGTGGTTTAACCACGGCGAAATTCTTGTTGATGGTACAAGTTTATTACTATTTCGTTATTTAGTACGGTGTTTCATGTTTGGTTTCGCCTTCGTGTCCAGTTCCGCTCTCCATGTTAAAGTGAGTATCATGAGATCGGCTCTCGTGTCCACAATTTTAGGAAAGTACCATCCTTGTGTCCTACGCCCTCTTGTCCGGTTCCCTTGTTAAATTGTTCTGTTCAATAATTGTTTGTGTTGAATTACCTTACGAGACATATTTATATGGTACGAAATTTGGGGATTTTTGGAAAAAATCCCCATATTTTCGTACTACCAAAATTGTGGCCGCCATTTCAAAATCCCACACATTAATTTTTATGTAATTGGCTTAAATAGGGCTAATTTGAGGTGAATTTGTCAAATAAGTTGTTTTACGTGTTTTGTGAGACACGGACACGCATTTCTCAGGTAAATAGAAAGTTACTTATTATAAAAATTACTGAATAGAAAATACTGGTTTTTCAGTGTTACGTGAAAAACGTGCGTCAGATTCAAAATTAGGGTTAGAAGTCAAACTTAGTCTCACATTCAAGAGTAGGGGAGACTTAATTGACAAGCTCAAACTTCTGTTGAGGGAGACATACACCTGGGACTACACCGGTGAGCAGACTCAAAGTGAAAGAGACGACGATGAAGACGATTTAAACGAAGAGAATGATTTTTAATTAATTTAGTTTTTCACGATTTTTAAAAATTCCATCAAAAACTGATTTTGATTTCTCTGAAATAATTTAGCGTGAAAATGCGACAATTTAATTTGGGGTACGAAATTTGGGGATTTCTGAAAAAAATCCCCATAGTTTCGTTCCCCCATAATTCCGATCCCCAGAATTATGATCCACATAAATATGTCTTGTAAGGTATTGTAAATAATCAATAATTATTAATATTGAACTAATTTTAATTTCAAATAATTTAATTGTAACATAATGTTTAATCATTGTTAACCTATTTGTTTGTTGCTTAAATTGTACTTTAATCAGATGAAAGGTGTCCCCTCTAACAATGTTCACTACGAGTATAAGATAGACAGAAGGAAAGACAGACTCTTCAGTACCTTCATTCCTCCTCAGCAGATCGAGGACGATGGGGGAAAGATTATAGGTTGGCTAATTAATGATTAATTAATGGTTAATTAATGATTAATTAATGGTTAATCAATGATTAATTAATGGCTAATTAATGATTAATTAATGGTTAATCAATGATTAATTAATGGCTAATTAATGATTAATTAATGGTTAATCAATGGTTAATTAATGGCTAATTTATTATTAATTAATGGTTAGTTAATGGTTAGTTAATGGTTAACTAATGGTTAGTTAATGGTTAATTGATGGTTCATTAATTACTTGTTATATGTTAGTAGCAATTTTAGAATGCCAGTATTTTCCTCTCCCAGTGATATTGTTAAAACTACTAATTTATTGCTCTATAAACTGAATGATTAATTATCTAATAATTAATACCAGGTAGAGTGGAAGAGATGAAGATATTCGAGCAGGAACTTACCAGACTAATAGAACAACCTAAGGAGGACCCCCCAGGTATGTAAACAGGAATGTATACTATTTATCCGCTGTGACGTGTGAACTGAGTTTTAAATAGTAGGTGGAGAAGTTGCTGGCAACTGCGCAACTATTTCTCCAACCTAGCAATTAATATTTTACAGTCTCTGGATCTGACACTGTAAAGTCCATAGTTATGAAGATAGAATCAGCGACTGGTATGGGCAAGACAAGGTTGCTTCAGGAGATGAAGAACGTTGCAGAGAAAAAGAAAGTCAGGTAACAAATAAGCTTTTTCTCATTCGCTGGTAAACCTCAAATCAAAGTTAAGAGTCTTGATTATTTTTAGCGGGCTTTTACTCGCTATGATGACCGTGATTTGGAGCGGAGCCGTTTTTCTGGTAACCATTCTTCTAGAACTTCTTTCTGCCCTCAGGGTTATATTTGCGGCGGCTGGTGCTGTGGAACATGCCACACCCCACTTTGCTATCAAAGCTCTTCTTGTCCAAATGTTCAGGTAACTGCAAATAAAATAGTTTATTAATTGATTGAAAGTAGGTAACACAAATATCTGTATTTCTTGACTTTAATTGCGGAAACTACAAATTTGAAATATAGATATGGTTTCAAATAATAACTACCTTACTCGGGAATATTATAGCGGGTTAATTTATGACTGGGAAAATTAATGACCGGGAAAAATATGGCGGAATTTTCCAAAACCCACCAAGCATCAAAATGTATTACTATTAGTTTACCTTACTCGGGAACATTATAGCGGGTTAATTTATGACTGGGAAAATTAATGACCGGGAAAAATATGGCGGAATTTTCCAAAACCCATCACTTTATCCCAGTCATAATATTCCCAATATTATGACACAATCACACACAATTCTGACCAGGTTGATGGAATGTTGCTCAGCTACGGACCGGGCAGATGTTATTATAAAGTTCGTAGAGGAGGATATGATAAAAGAGATATACTTGTTAAACGAGCTGCTTAAAATACACGTAAGTATTCTTCCCTCCTCCTCCTTCTTCTTTCTCCTCGACTAATGTGTATTCTACCCTCCTCCTCCTTCTTCTTTCTCCTCGACTAATGTGTATTCTACCCTCCCCCTCCTTCTTCTTTCTCCTCGACTAATGTGTATTCTACCCTCCCCCTCCTTCTTCTTTCTCCTCGACAAATGTGTATTCTACCCTCCTCCTCCTTCTTCTATCTCCTCGACTAATGTGTATTCTACCCTCCCCCTCCTTCTTCTTTCTCCTCGACTAATGTGTATTCTACCCTCCTCCTCCTTCTTCTTTCTCCTCGACTAATGTGTATTCTACCCTCCCCCTCCTTCTTCTTTCTCCTCGACAAATGTGTATTCTACCCTCCTCATCCTTCTTCTATCTCCTCGACTAATGTGTATTCTACCCTCCCCCTCCTTCTTCTTTCTACCCTCCCCCTCCTTCTTCTTCTTTCTACCCTCCCCCTCCTTCTTCTTTCTCCTCGACTAATGTGTATTCTACCCTCCCCCTCCTTCTTCTTTCTCCTCGACTAATGTGTATTCTACCCTCCCCCTCCTTCTTCTTTCTCCTCGACAAATGTGTATTCTACCCTCCTCCTCCTTCTTCTATCTCCTCGACTAATGTGTATTCTACCCTCCTCCTCCTTCTTCTTTCTCTTCGACTAATGTGTATTCTACCCTCCCCCTCCTTCTTCTTTCTCCTCGACTAATGTGTATTCTACCCTCCCCCTCCTTCTTCTTTCTCCTCGACTAATGTGTATTCTACCCTCCCCCTCCTTCTTCTTTCTCCTCGACTAATGTGTATTCTACCCTCCCCCTCCTTCTTCTTTCTCCTCGACTAATGTGTATTCTACCCTCCCCCTCCTTCTTCTTTCTACCCTCCCCCTCCTTCTTCTTTCTACCCTCCCCCTCCTTCTTCTTTCTACCCTCCCCCTCCTTCTTCTTTCTACCCTCCCCCTCCTTCTTCTTTCTACCCTCCCCTCCTTCTTTCTCCTCGACTAATGTGTATTCTACCCTCCACCTCCTTCTTCTTTCTACCCTCCCCCTCCTTCTTCTTTCTCCTCGACTAATGTGTATTCTACCCTCCCCCTCCTTCTTCTTTCTCCTCGACTAATGTGTATTCTACCCTCCCCCTCCTTCTTCTTTCTCCTCGACTAATGTGTATTCTACCCTCCCCCTCCTTCTTCTTTCTCCTCGACAAATGTGTATTCTACCCTCCTCCTCCTTCTTCTATCTCCTCGACTAATGTGTATTCTACCCTCCTCCTCCTTCTTCTTTCTCCTCGACAAATGTGTATTCTACCCTCCTCCTCCTTCTTCTATCTCCTCGACTAATGTGTATTCTACCCTCCCCCTCCTTCTTCTTTCTCCTCGACTAATGTGTATTCTACCCTCCTCCTCCTTCTTCTTTCTCCTCGACTAATGTGTATTCTACCCTCCCCCTCCTTCTTCTTTCTCCTCGACAAATGTGTATTCTACCCTCCTCATCCTTCTTCTATCTCCTCGACTAATGTGTATTCTACCCTCCCCCTCCTTCTTCTTTCTACCCTCCCCCTCCTTCTTCTTCTTTCTACCCTCCCCCTCCTTCTTCTTTCTCCTCGACTAATGTGTATTCTACCCTCCCCCTCCTTCTTCTTTCTCCTCGACTAATGTGTATTCTACCCTCCCCCTCCTTCTTCTTTCTCCTCGACAAATGTGTATTCTACCCTCCTCCTCCTTCTTCTATCTCCTCGACTAATGTGTATTCTACCCTCCTCCTCCTTCTTCTTTCTCTTCGACTAATGTGTATTCTACCCTCCCCCTCCTTCTTCTTTCTCCTCGACTAATGTGTATTCTACCCTCCCCCTCCTTCTTCTTTCTCCTCGACTAATGTGTATTCTACCCTCCCCCTCCTTCTTCTTTCTCCTCGACTAATGTGTATTCTACCCTCCCCCTCCTTCTTCTTTCTCCTCGACTAATGTGTATTCTACCCTCCCCCTCCTTCTTCTTTCTACCCTCCCCCTCCTTCTTCTTTCTACCCTCCCCCTCCTTCTTCTTTCTACCCTCCCCCTCCTTCTTCTTTCTACCCTCCCCCTCCTTCTTCTTTCTACCCTCCCCTCCTTCTTTCTCCTCGACTAATGTGTATTCTACCCTCCACCTCCTTCTTCTTTCTACCCTCCCCCTCCTTCTTCTTTCTCCTCGACTAATGTGTATTCTACCCTCCCCCTCCTTCTTCTTTCTCCTCGACTAATGTGTATTCTACCCTCCCCCTCCTTCTTCTTTCTCCTCGACTAATGTGTATTCTACCCTCCCCCTCCTTCTTCTTTCTCCTCGACTAATGTGTATTCTACCCTCCCCCTCCTTCTTCTTTCTCCTCGACTAATGTGTATTCTACCCTCCCCCTCCTTCTTCTTTCTACCCTCCCCCTCCTTCTTCTTTCTACCCTCCCCCTCCTTCTTCTTTCTACCCTCCCCCTCCTTTTTCTATCTACCCTCCCCCTCCTTCTTCTTTCTACCCTCCCCCTCCTTCTTCTTTCTACCCTCCCCCTCCTTCTTCTTTCTACCCTCCCCCTCCTTCTTCTTTCTACCCTCCCCCTCCTTCTTCTTTCTACCCTCCCCCTCCTTCTTCTTTCTACCCTCCCCCTCCTTCTTCTTTCTACCCTCCCCCTCCTTCTTCTTTCTACCCTCCCCCTCCTTCTTCTTTCTACCCTCCCCCTCCTTCTTCTTTCTACCCTCCCCCTCCTTCTTCTTTCTACCCTCCCCCTCCTTCTTCTATCTACCCTCCCCTCCTTCTTCTTTCTACCCTCCCCCTCCTCCTTCTTTCTACCCTCCCCTCCTCCTTCTTTCTACCCTCCCCCTCCTTCTTCTATCTACCCTCCCCTCCTTCTTTCTCCTCGACTAATGTGTATTCTACCCTCCACCTCCTTCTTCTTTCTCCTCGACTAATGTGTATTCTACCCTCCCCCTCCTTCTTCTTTCTACCCTCCCCCTCCTTCTTCTTTCTACCCTCCCCCTCCTTCTTCTTTCTACCCTCCCCCTCCTTCTTCTTTCTACCCTCCCCCTCCTTCTTCTTTCTCCTCGACTAATGTGTATTCTACCCTCCCCCTCCTTCTTCTTTCTCCTCAACTAATGTGTATTCTACCCTCCCCCTCCTTCTTCTTTCTCCTCGACTAATGTGTATTCTACCCTCCCCCTCCTTCTTCTTTCTCCTCAAGTAATGTGTATTCTACCCTCCCCCTCCTTCTTCTTTCTCCTCAACTAATATGTATTCTACCCTCCCCCTCATTCTTCTTTCTTCTCGACTAATGTTGGCAATATTCAACTCTCATTAATGGTTTTTTCATGAGCCTTTGTATAACAATAATTAAATAGAGGAACTAGTCCAATTAAGTAACATGTTGTCAGTTCACTGCATTCTGAACATCTCCCAGGTGGGATACGTGAAGCGTGCGAGGGAAAAAGATAAAAAGAAGAAGTTGACTAACATGATTTGCTATTTGTTCGAGAAGGCCGCCAAAGAACAGCACACTATGATTATACTAGACGACGCTCAGTGGATTGACAAGGACTCCTGGATAATGTTACATGAGATTATAAAACGCTGCCGGGTAAGTGTCAATACTGTCAACAATTATGTTACTTGGGCAACAATCATGTTACCTTGGCAACAATCATGTTACCTTGTCAACAATCATGTGAGCTTGGCAACAATCATCTTTTCTTGGCAGTTGGCAACAATCATGTTACTTTGGCAACAATTTTGTAACTTTGGCAACACTACTGTTACCATGACAACACTACTGTTACCATGGCAACCACTCAGGCGCTTATAGTTTGTAGTACGCGACCATTTCCTGCTGCTCATCCTCCGATGGAGGAGGCTAAAAGAATCCTCAACGGTCCGTTTACTAAAGAGATCCATTTATCTAGTAAGTAAATTTAGTAATGATATTATTTGTGTAAAATATAAGTGTAAAATTGTAAAATTGTTAATCCTGTGGCTGAATGAAACCTCTTATCATATCTTAAAAAGAAACCAGGCCCGGCCCCGCGGCTTATTATTATATAAGAATTATTAAAAGCTATGTCATTACCATTCAACAAATATTCAGATATTATATGTAATGTAAAGGTTGAACTAGTTTAACTAAGATTGTTTGCAGGTCTAAAGCCAGATGACATGGTAATGTTGGCGTGTCAGTTGATAAAAGTAACCAGGTTACCAATACAGCTGATAAACATCCTGAGAACCAGGTCCCACGGTGTCCCGCTCTACGCTGAGCAGCTAGTCAGCACCATGCTCCAGTTTAAAGTTCTTCAGGTCAGTCAGATAGTAATTAATTATTAATTAATGGTTAATCAATGGTTAATTAATGGCTAATTAATGATTAATTAATGGTTAACTAATGGTTAGTTAAGGGTTAATTAATTACTTGTTATATATCAGATAGTATATGTGAGCGGGGGAGGGGTATCGAAAATACCATCTTTTGAAGTATATTAGCTAATATTGACTAATGATATTGATTATTGACTAATGATATTGAATAATGATCGTTGTAGTTTCTGATTCATAGTGCATACTGAATCACTGATAATGATAGATTACCGTAAATTTGTAATGCAGCTGAAGGGTGGAAGGGTGAAGGGTGTGTGGGGTGGGTCATTAAGTAGCTAATTATGGATGTTTGTCTGTTTCTATATTTTATTGTAACAGTAGCTATAGCGGTTATTCTAGTCGCTACTGTAACTATTGTACCGAGTGGTTCAGGTGGTCCCTATTATTGTACCGAGTGGTTCAGGTGGTCCCTATTATTGTACCGAGTGGTTCAGGTGGTCCCTATTATTGTACCGAGTGGTTCAGGTAGTCCCTATTATTGTACCGAGTGGTTCAGGTAGTCCCTATTATTGTACCGAGTGGTTCAGGTGGTCCCTATTATTGTACCGAGTGGTTCAGGTGGTCCCTATTATTGTACCGAGTGGTTCAGGTGGTCCCTATTATTGTACCGAGTGGTTCAGGTGGTCCCTATTATTGTACCGAGTGGTTCAGGTGGTCCCTATTATTGTACCGAGTGGTTCAGGTGGTCCCTATTATTGTACCGAGTGGTTCAGGTGGTCCCTATTATTGTACCGAGTGGTTCAGGTGGTCCCTATTATTGTACCGAGTGGTTCAGGTGGTCCCTATTATTGTACCGAGTGGTTCAGGTGGTCCCTATTATTGTACCGAGTGGTTCAGGTGGTCCCTATTATTGTACCGAGTGGTTCAGGTGGTCCCTATTATTGTACCGAGTGGTTCAGGTGGTCCCTATTATTGTACCGAGTGGTTCAGGTGGTCCCTATTACTGTACCGAGTGGTTCAGGTGGTCCCTATTACTGTACCGAGTGGTTCAGGTGGTCCCTATTATTGTACCGAGTGGTTCAGGTGGTCCCTATTACTGTACCGAGTGGTTCAGGTGGTCCCTATTATTGTACCGAGTGGTTCAGGTGGTCCCTATTATTGTACCGAGTGGTTCAGGTGGTCCCTATTATTGTACCGAGTGGTTCAGGTGGTCCCTATTATTGTACCGAGTGGTTCAGGTGGTCCCTATTATTGTACCGAGTGGTTCAGGTGGTCCCTATTATTGTACCGAGTGGTTCAGGTGGTCCCTATTATTGTACCGAGTGGTTCAGGTGGTCCCTATTATTGTACCGAGTGGTTCAGGTGGTCCCTATTATTGTACCGAGTGGTTCAGGTGGTCCCTATTATTGTACCGAGTGGTTCAGGTGGTCCCTATTATTGTACCGAGTGGTTCAGGTGGTCCCTATTATTGTACCGAGTGGTTCAGGTGGTCCCTATTATTGTACCGAGTGGTTCAGGTGGTCCCTATTATTGTACCGAGTGGTTCAGGTGGTCCCTATTATTGTACCGAGTGGTTCAGGTGGTCACTATTATTGTACCGAGTGGTTCAGGTGGTCCCTATTATTGTACCGAGTGGTTCAGGTGGTCCCTATTACTGTACCGAGTGGTTCAGGTGGTCCCTATTATTGTACCGAGTGGTTCAGGTGGTCCCTATTATTGTACCGAGTGGTTCAGGTGGTCCCTATTATTGTACCGAGTGGTTCAGGTGGTCCCTATTATTGTACCGAGTGGTTCAGGTGGTCCCTATTATTGTACCGAGTGGTTCAGGTGGTCCCTATTATTGTACCGAGTGGTTCAGGTGGTCCCTATTATTGTACCGAGTGGTTCAGGTGGTCCCTATTATTGTACCGAGTGGTTCAGGTGGTCCCTATTATTGTACCGAGTGGTTCAGGTGGTCACTATTATTGTACCGAGTGGTTCAGGTGGTCCCTATTATTGTACCGAGTGGTTCAGGTGGTCCCTATTACTGTACCGAGTGGTTCAGGTGGTCCCTATTATTGTACCGAGTGGTTCAGGTGGTCCCTATTATTGTACCGAGTGGTTCAGGTGGTCCCTATTATTGTACCGAGTGGTTCAGGTGGTCCCTATTATTGTACCGAGTGGTTCAGGTGGTCCCTATTATTGTACCGAGTGGTTCAGGTGGTCCCTATTATTGTACCGAGTGGTTCAGGTGGTCCCTATTATTGTACCGAGTGGTTCAGGTGGTCCCTATTATTGTACCGAGTGGTTCAGGTGGTCCCTATTATTGTCTCATCATCATGCTCCGCCTTATTATCTTACTACACACAAGTTTAGAGCTGTATATTATTAACATGGCACCTGTGTGGTCCCCCCACGTCACTTCACCCCGGCACGAGGCGTCTCTCTGTCCTCTTCAGTCTTCCTCCCTATTGTTTCACTTAATTACTCTGTTCCTATATTGCAACATCATTAACAGTTCCGATATTTGGGGTCGAAGTTAACTCGCATTAAAAGTGCAATTTGAGATATGTTTCCCTCAGATCAGTAATTCGCTTCGTGCTCTGGTAGGATAGAAGTGATGAAGTGTGCTTTTTCTGTGCGTGCTGCTCATTAGGGTGTTCATTAACACTAGTTTTTAAGGTTTATCGTTTTGTGTTATGTAGCGGTTACATTTCAACTATCTACTTACTTATTCTTACTAACTTAATAAGTATTATTTACTATTTAGTAACACCTCTTAGTCGGAATACCGAGGTTGCCATGGTAATATTGCAGACGAATGAGTACTTCGTTGTTCTAGCAAGTTTCTACTGGACACACAGTAGATTGTTTGTAACTTTGTTGATGCTAGAGAGGACTTGAGGAGGTGTCACTTGTCACTTGTCATTTGTCACTTGTCACTTGTCACTTGTCACTTGTCACTTGTCACTTGTCATTTGTCATTTGTCACTTGTCACTTGTCACTTGTCACTTGTCACTTGTCATTTGTCATGTTAAACTGTCCCAATTTGTTAAAAGGGAGCGGAAATTTGCATGCGTAGTCCTGGGCACTGGAAGGATTACGTTTTCTTTTCGAGAATATTTGGTGCATGTAAATCGAAACCAATGTCACGAAGTTTTAATGAGAAGGAACAATAGTTTATTTTGTGACAACTGCTGACTGGCTAACCTGCTAGAAAAACTCATCAACATCTAAAATATCATACAAACTGCTAGACATATTTAAGCAGCCCTGATGGGCCGAAACACGTCAAATTTCCACGTGAAGCGGACTCCCGGAGGAAAATGATAAAATTTTAGGGTCGGTAAACTTGGAACATTCCAGCAGTTAAACTATGTTGTCAGTCTAACTTTCAACTGGCGGTTTAACATTGTCTCTACTTAGTAACCAACACCATGTTACCAAGACAACAGTTACCAAGACAACATCCAAGTTTAACCTTATTGCTAATTAGCAAGGAACCCCATAACATGCAGCTGCTTTTCAGTATTTACCAGACTTACCTTCTCTATGTTATATTTACCATGTAGCTATCACTCCACCATTAAGGGGGGTTATTAGTTATTGCGACACTTTATTTTGTATTGGCGTCTCTCCCATCCATTAGTCTCTGGCTTTAACTGCGTCTCTCCCCCGCATATTGTATACTCTACAGTCCTGGTTATGTAGCAGACTGCAGAACCGTACAGAGCATGCAATATGGTTTCTTGTGGAGTATGCAAATTGCAATAAGTGTCCTTAAAGAGTCAAGTACTGCACACTGCACGTTTTTTATTTGAAATTCAATTATTCTGATATATATGAGAATCAAGCGTTACAATAATTTCAGCAACAGAGGCAACGTATAAGTGCGGCGGTGTGGATCGCACTATTTGCCTTTTCGCGCACGTTTTCGCACTTTAAGCTGTTTCCTGGCTAAGCAGCTTTAAACCGGACCATAAACGGATATCAAACCGAAACCGAATTTAGCCGTCTCTCCCCTCGTGAATAACCGAAGGAAGGGAAAAAATCTTGCTACCAAATCATAGCGATATTTTCCAAATAGGAGCTATTTTTGAAGAAATACGACTGCTGAGTAGCAAATTGAAAACTTAATACCAATTATTTCGTTTTGAGAATCCAGATGGTACACATTTTGGGTAAAAGGACACCACATTTATTTAGTGAGTAGATACACATTCCAATGATTTCAACGAGAGGATTGCACAAGTCACAGCTTAAGGAGAATAACATCATCAATCATCATACCATTATGCTGTGAGATAACTTGTATCATTATCAGACTGTATTTAAGGGGACATATACATACAAAAAGCTTTTATGCCCTGGTCCTGCTGTTAAAAGACACAACAAATTTTGTGTCTTTAAGTATTATAAATTTGGTACGAATTATAAAATCCTTTCAATGGCTTCTTGTACGGATTGTAAGTAATGTTCATTAAAAATATCAGCCAAAAAATGTTTAAAATGACTGAAAGATCGGTATTACAGTGACAGACTTCTCAAAATTTGCAAAACTTTCGAAAAAGAAAATATATATTTTTTAGAAAGTGAGTACTCTCAAAAATAATTTTCAATGTATCAAATCTTATTGTTTTTATGTATACTTTCTTAATATGAAGTTAACAGCAGGGCCAGGGCGCTAAAGCTTTTTGTATATGTCCCCTGACTGAGCCGCTTCAAAATAATCATATCTCTTAGTCTTTTTAGTCGCTTTTTGTTGTTTATGTTAGGGAGCGTTCATATTTTCATAAATTACGTCAGCAAGTTTTTAAGCCAATTTTGAAGACGTCAACTAGGTCCACACCAGCAAGGCACAGATTTTGCTAAATTTGCAGCGCACTTTAAGCATTTTGAGGCAAGTGTTAACGGGTGATACTCGTAAAATATCTGTTCCATATATTGGACCGTCGACGAGTCCAACTCGGCGCGCGTCCTGGTAGGTTGTAAACCTACAAGG